GGGAATCCAATTACTTGTGTCTATTTATTCGTGTGCCCCAGGGCCCCTGGACGAAGCCACAGCGTCGCACGCCCGGGCCCAGACCCAGGCGCGCAGGGCGCCGCTATACCGCACCGCAGCGGCGGCGGCCAGCAGGGGGCCGCGCACCAGGGACCACCCCTACCCAAGTCGGCATCGTTTAACCAGTCCCCATGCCCAATCCCCATCCCCCTCGAGACCCCCATCAGGTTCCCCCCCCAGTTGGGGATCACCCTCGAAACCCAAAGGGAACGACCTACATCCCCCTCTGGGTGGGTAAATCGGCCAGCGGGGCCCAGGCCACGCCGCTGGGGATGGGGATCGGTCAAACGATACTCACCAAGGAGGGCCAGTATATCGTTTAGCCGACCCCCAGACCCCTTCGAGTCATGACAAAATCACGACGGGAGGTTTTTCGTGTTGCTATTTTCGGCCCCCAAGGGCCCTTGCCAGGCCGCGGGACCGTCAACAAAACCACTCGGGATGAGAAACCAGTCCCAGGGATTGATTGGGTCGAGACCCCTGGGGATCGACGTCGGGGGTCTGGGCCCCCAGACCACCACGAGCCTGAGCCCATCGATCTCAGGACCCCCGTCGGGGAGATGTACCCCTCGAAGCCCGAAGGAAACGGCTTATATCCCCATGTATGGGGGGTGCATCAGCCAGTGGGGCCCAGGTTATACCCATGCGGATAAAGGGTCGGGACAACGGTGCCCAATGAGGGCCACCCCTGAGGCATAGTTGTTCTTTATTTCGCGGCGATAACGGGTGATCGTTGGGGGCGTCGTTGTCGTTGCGGTCGATGTCGGGTGGAAGGGGGGGGGGGGGAGAAGGCGGGGCATGGCGTAAGGCCCCCCCCCCTCGTCGTGTGGGCCCGGCACCGCAGTGTGATGCCTGCGGCAGCGCTGGGGACGCACTGGGGGGGGGGGGGGGGAAGCGTTAAGCTCTTTGGAGAGGGGGGGCGGGTGCATAACGCGCGATATGGCCCAGAGGGCTGCGTGCTTGAAGACCAGCCCCTGCGCGCGCAGCCGCAGGTCAGCTGGAGCGCCCCCGCCGACGAGGGCCTCCCGGAGCCTGCCGCCTACGCCATCGAGCTCGACGACGCGTCGGAGACGCTGTACGTCGACCACCCCACCGGCCGCCTGGCCGGCAGCCCGGTCGCCGCGCGCCCCGCCCCGGCCAGCGCGCGGCGCGCGGTGCTCGACGGCCTGCCCACGGGCGTCTGCTTCCGGGTCACGGTGCTCGGGGGCAGGGATACAACGACGCCAAGATCGGGACAAAATCGGATCGGGATAACTCGAAATCTCCGAGAATCGGCGGGTTTGGAGGATGTATTGGGCGCCGCGGCCGCTCCAGAGCGTTCCGGAACGCTCTGAGAGCGCTCCGGAACGCTCTGGAGCGATTTATCCCGATCCTAGCCCTGTTTTAAGGGATGGGACGGGAGGGGACAGGCTCAGGGGTTCGGGATTCGAAGTTTTTGAGGTTTTCGGGTGGCTTCGTCGGCTCTCGGCGGTGTTCTAGGCCTCGGGGTGCTTCCCCGCGGCTGCGCCTCGCCGAGGGCGTTCTGGGGGTGCCCGGATCGTCCCGAACGTCCGCCAGAGAGCCGAGTCATGGCACGAAGACCACGGGGCACGGGGAGGGTGTCAGGGGTGGTGCGTCGACGCCCGGTCGCCCAGTCATCGCCGATCAGGGCCCGACAGCCCCGCCCGGGAACGTGCGGATCCGCCCTCGGGGGCCTCTCGCCGATGCGTCGGCGATGTATCGCCGATCCCAGTTTCATTGTTCCCCCCCCCTGAGCTGGTCCCCCCTGTCCTCTTGGTATCGCTCGGACGTGCGCACTTTTCCTCGGCGGGGATTCTTCAGGAGCACCCTGGATCATCCTGCGAAAAAACCCACGCGCGACACCGAATACAAACATATAGGGAATGGACGTCCGAGCGATGGCCAGTCCTTGCCCCTCAGGTGTGCGCCATCCGGCGGCTGCAGCAGGGAGGAGGAGGAGGAGGAGGAGGAGGAGGAGGAGGAGGAGGAGGAGGAGGAGGAGGAGGAGGAGGAGGAGGAGGAGGAGGGGGAGGAGGAGGAGGAGGAGGAGGATGAGGAGGAGGAGGAGGAGGAGGAGGAGGAGGAGGAGGAGGAGGAGGAGGAGGAGGGGGAGGAGGAAGAGGAGGGGGCCGAGGGGCTAGGCCGCTGCGCCACAACAAAAATATCGGCGTGCGGAGCTCCGCGCGGAGCTCTCGGGCCGGCGCCTGCGCGCCCCCTTTGGCGGCGGCTCCGCAGCCGCTCCTCGGAGCTCCGCGCGGGCTCCTCGGGCCGGCGCTGGGGCCCTGGCGGCGTCTCCAGCGCCGCCCCCGGCGAGCCGCGCCCCAGTCGGGGGAGCGTTCGACCCGGGTTTGCCGGGACTCGGGTTCGCCATCGTTTTTTGACGACCGCGACTCGGATTTTGACGAGGAGGAGTTTTGTGGGATGTCTGCAGCGGGAGGCC